TATTTTTTCAGGCGAGACAATACCAATACGTATTCTGCACATATCCCATTAGCATGGCTCCATAAACGAGTCTGTAGCTTTGAGAACTGGGAGAAAACTGAGCTGCTGAAAACATGTAGCATTAAGCAGGATCGGGGAAACATTTGGCTTTGGAACAACAGCAGCTAGACTCCTCGGTTCCCAAACACTTAATGAGTGTTGTTAAAAGCAGACGCAGTGAGAAACCTTCCCCTGTTGCTAACATCAAAGAAAAAAAAAGAAAGAAATGGAAGTATTTCTCCTGTTTCAGGATTTTGTGTTTGTGCTACTTTTAATTAAATGCGACTTAGATTATCTGCAAATCTTCACATTTTCTACTAGTTTGTGAACTGAACAGCTGTCAGGCACATGTTTCACACCTTCCTGCTGCCAAGTTCATGAACAAGACAGTCCGCAGAGCCCAGCAGGCCACGATTTCCTTACTTGGACAGCAGGGAGAAGCTCTATTTATGTTACCCTTAAGGAAGGTTAGCAGGGACAGCTGCAGCGCTGCCTCACCGAACAGTTGGTGGCTCAACTAGGTACTGCAGCAAATCTCCAGATTATTTTCCGACAGTCATTTATCTTCCGCCTTATCCGTTATCAATCAGTTCCAAGCTAATCTTTGACCCATTATTATAGTTGCATGTGTCCCACTTGAGGATGATCTTTGTGGCCTTTTTGTTATCTTTTGTTATCTCCTCCACTGTGTTTTATCAGTCCCCATCCTGACGGAGTGTTCTGAAGTTTTTATGTTCTGATCATTAGTCTGATGCTTATTTTTGACCTGTTTATACTCTGATTGGTGAACTTGTCGATCTCTGCAGACGTACTACAGAGTCAGCAACATGGACGGGCGTCTGTCCAATCCCGATCAGTCCCTCACGGAGGACATCGTCATGTTTTCGGCCTCCGTCGCTCACCTCTACTCCAACCTGACCAAACCCATCCTGGACGTGATCGTCACCTGCTACACGCTGATACGCACCGCCCACTCCAAAGGTTGCTTATGTTAGCGCCAAACGATTTCACGCATGATGTGAACACATTGGTGTGTTGCTTGTAATTAATGCTTATTTTTGACTGAGGCTGAGGTTCTAACAGTGTGTCTGCGCTACATGTTTCTGCAGGAGCAAACACAACGTGGCCAGCGGTCATCGCCGGCCTGGTCGTAGCGCTCACGGCTAAAGTCCTGCGCTCCTGTTCGCCTCGATTCGGGAAGCTCGTGGCCGAGGAGGCGAAGAGGAAAGGAGACTTGCGTTACATGCACTCGCGAATCATCACCAACTCAGAGGAGATTGCCTTCTATGGAGGACACAAGGTAAAAAAACCAGTGATCAGTTTGAATGACAGGTAGGAGATTTTCACCATCGCTGTTAAACTCTGTGGATGGAGATCGCCATGTCTGTGATGGTCATGCGAGTTTGGGTGTGTTTGATTTGTAGGTGGAGCTGGCCCAGCTGCGGAGGAGCTACACGTCTCTGTCCTCTCAGATCCATCAGATCCTGCTGAAGCGCCTCTGGTACATCATGCTGGAACAGTTCCTCATGAAGTACGTGTGGAGCGCCTCCGGCCTGGTGATGGTCGCCGTGCCCATCATCACCGCCATCGGATACGCTGAACACGGTAAACACACTCGGTGTACAGTATCACAGCGAGTCTGGTGCGAGTGTGGCGTTCAGCTGCTTCACCTTTGACCTGTCATGTGCTCAGACTCGGAGGAGGTGAAGCAGGCTGCCATGGTGATGAAGGAGGAGGAGCTTGTGAGTGAACGGACGCAGGCCTTCACCACGGCCAGGAACCTCCTGAACGCTGCAGCCGACGCCGTGGAGAGAATCATGAGCTCCTACAAGGAGGTATGCACGCCGTGCTTCCTCTTTTTCACCTCTGATTCGCTGGCTGATGGTTAACAGAGGAGTATTTGAAGAAGGCAGCTGCTGGAGGGAGACTATCACTTCCTTTCTTCTGCTCGTCTTCCTCCAGTCTTCACCTTGTGTTTCCTCCCTTTCTCCTTCGTGCCATGTTGATGTTTAACTGATGCACACTGACGACTGACTGCTGTGCAGGTGACGGAGCTGGCAGGTTACACTGCTCGAGTCTCTGAGATGTTGGATGTGTTTGAAGATGTGAATCAGGGGATCTACCGCCGCTCCGCAGACAGAGAGAAGGAGGAGTTAACAGCTGAAGGAGGAGGAGGAGCAGTTCAGCACGGGCAGAGAGTCTGTGGTCCGCTACAGATCAGAGGTGAGTCTTGTATCATGTAACACCTCTGCAGCACTTTACTCCCAAACTCTCAGCTGGGTTATCTTTGGCCTTGTGTCATTTGTCGCTTCAGTCACTAAAGGGCAAAACCCCGCCCACACACAAACTCCAAACAGGAAGTTGAGACAGCTGTTTGTCTGTTGTGTACAGGTCAGGTGATCAGCGTGGAAAAGGGGATTCGCTGTGAGAACCTGCCAATCATCACGCCTACCGGAGATGTAGTAGTGTCCTGTCTGAATATCCAGGTAACACACACATGCGCACACACACTTTGTTACCATGGTAACCTATCCTGCGAACCTAATTTATCCTGTTTTGTTTTTCAACCTTTTGTGTGCAAACAATTTTACAATAATGTTGTTGTTCTGTAAGCATAACCAAACAAATTAAGACACCTATTTGTACTTGTGGCCTTCATATCGACTGCAGGTAGACGAAGCCAAGGCTAAAATGCATTAATACAGTAGCTCACACCTAGCTCAGGAAACCCTGGTTTCTGAGTTAATTACTTTGTGTGATCGCTTATCCAGACTGCCAGTGTTAGCATGAGTGAGTCCAAATAACGCAAAGATATCCTGGGTATGTTGAACTTTCTTTGTAGCAGAGGACGTTGCTGTGGGCTTTTCCTTTTATTGATTTTTAATTTAATGTCTGTTACGATCCGGACCATGAATCCTCAGGGTGGTCAGTGTCGCCTCAGTGTGCAGCTAACATTTGTGGCCACATGGTGGCACTGCTGCAGTCCGGTCCTTATTTGGATTTAGCACAAAACCATCACAGATTTAAAGGAAGTCAACTGTACATGCTCGCTTTACAGACACACACATGTATTTTTACTTTCTGCACATAATAATAATAATAATAATGATAATAATAATAATAATAATGATAATAATGATAATGATAATGATAATGATAATAATAATAATAATGATAATAATGATAATAATGATAATAATAATAATAATAATGATAATAATAATAATAATGATGATGATAATAATAATGATAATAATAATAATAATAATGATAATAATAATGATAATAATAATAATAATAATAATAATAATGATGATGATAATAATAATGATAATAATAATAATAATGATGATGATGATAATGATAATGATAATAATAATAATAATAATAATGATAATAATAATAATAATAATAATGATGATGATAATAATAATGATAAT